TGACTTTATTCTTTGGTTATACTTTCCTTTTGGGTGTTTAAGACCATACAGTTGGCCCAAATAAATCAGTTTATTTTTACAGTTAAGGTCATTTGAGAATCTTTTCCTCAGGGGTCACATGGGCTTGGGAGGAGCTCCTGGCTCTTTTCTTTTACCAGTTCCGTCTATGTGAAGTTAAGTCAGAGGTCCTGCTCGATCATGGTTGGCTTCACTTGGAAGCATGGAGGAAGTGATTCCTTTGTGTTGACCCTCCTCTTTGTAGACTGGACACTGGTTCAAGTCCATCTGGTGGGGTCTCCTCGGCCTCCTTGATCAAGAGGACAGGTGACCCACCACAATTACAGGACACTTTGAGAGGTGATTGTGAAATTTTAATATATTGCTCGGTGAATTTTGAGCAGTAACCTTGAGTAGGAAGAGAACTGAATCTTTGAGGAAGGTTGAAATGGAACTCTAAAAAACAAAAATATATCTAAATGACAAAATTATACCTAACATAGTCAATGACATAAAAATTAAAAGTTGAACGCAAGGCCAAAGTATGTGGTTGAGTGGAAAACCACACGCCTAGCATATGTGAGGCTGAAGGTCAATTCCAGATCAGAGAAAAACAACACAACAAAACATACACACAGAAACCTCAACTCACAACCATTTTTACCTTTTCTAAAGTATATTTCAAATGCTAACAGATGGGTGTAAATGTTATCAGCAACAAGGTTCTTAAGTGGTGTGAGGAACTTGATGGCTTCTTCTAATGGATTTTCTACCTATTTTGAAGCAGAAAGGAAAATTTTTATATTTAAAAAGCAGCCACATAAGCCAAATTCCTCTGAAATTTTATAGTAACACACATACATAGTAATTTAGATACATTTTTATATAATAAAATATGCAAGAAACATTTAAAAATTACTGCCTGTAAATAAATTCAAAGTACATGGTCAATAATTTTCAAAAGAGAAATAGTTACTATATTTTTATAACTATAAAATCAAGGTAGTTTTTAACAAAATATTACATTTATTTATTTGTGGGTGAAGTGAGGGAGACATGGCACATGTGTAGAAGTCAGAGGACAAACTTGCCGGAGTCAGTTCTCTCCTTCCACCATGTGATTTCTAGGGATTTTAGTTGTCAGGCTTGATGGCAAGTGCCTAAGTCATTTTGCTGCCTGTGCTGGATAGCTTTAGTGTCAACTTGACACACCTGGGTTGAGGGAGCCTCAATCTGGAAATTGCCTCTATTGGACTGGCCTGTGGCCAAGTCTGAAGGGCATCTTCTTGATGTGTGATGTGGGAGGGCCTGGGTGGTGCCACCCCTGGGCAGGTGGGCCTGTGTTGCATAAGAAAGCAGGCTGAGCAGGGGCCAAGGGAGCAAGCCTGTAAGCAGCGTTCCTCCATGGCCTGTGCTCCAGCTCCTGCCTCCAGGTTCCTGCCCTGAGTTCCTACCTTGGGCTCCCTAATGAACTGCGTGCGACCTGGGAGATGTAAGACAAATAAACCCTTTCCTCCCCAAGTTGGTACTGGTCAGAGTGTTTTGTCACAGCAATGAAGAATCAAACCATGACACTGCCCCTCAAGGTTGTTTATACAAATCAAAAAACTACTTCAAATTATTCCACAGAATTTATGAAATGATACACAAGTACTGACAGTTCCTCATATATCACAAACATCAAAAATGTGGAGACAAATATAACAGCATCCCATAATTGGGGGGAAATGCAATCACAAATTTTAAATACTTACTAAATTTATAATGAGTAAACCAGAAAGCTAAATATTTTCCTAAATCTGGACCCCAAATAACTACTAACACTTTAACAAAATGTTGGGGATAAGGTTCTGTTTGTAGGTAGACCATTATTCTAGTAAGACACATACAATCAATGATTCCATATTTCATATACAATTATATTGCTGCTACAACAAATTTCCAAAAACTATCTGTCTTAAAAAACAAACCGCCTTGCAGTTCTATAGATTCTAAGTTCCACACTGGTCTGTCTAACTGGTCTGAAAACAAGGTATCAGAAGGACTGCAATCCCTTTCAGAGGCTCTAGGGGAGAATCTAGTTCCATATCTTTTACTGCTTCGAAAAGCTGCCCACATTCCTTGGTTTATGACCTTCTCCTGCGTCTTGAAAGTCAGTAACAACAGGTTAAGTCCTCATAGCACATGACCTGTCAGATCACACTAAGCCACATGGGCATTCCAGGCTAATCTCTTTATCTGGAGAACAATTAAGTATAACCTTAATGTAAATTCCATCTGCTACCTTAATTTTCCTTTATCATGTACACATATTCATAGCTTCTGGGGATTAGAATGCACCTTTAGAAGGCCGCTACTCTGGTCCATAACAATTCTAACAATTCTAGCCAAATTTGCACAGTGCCACTGGAAAAAAAAAATGATGGCTATCATAATGACTTGAAATACTACAAGTGGTCTCTTTGCATTTAAGTGACTTATGGCCAGAACAGAATCAAACAGCATAAATTGTAATTAAAAAACAGTAACAGTAAACTCAACTCACCCTTTCTAGTTTTTCAGGTGTCAGTTCTTCCTTAAAATCACTGACTTCTTCTTCATCATCTCTTTTTTTCTTTTGATTTTTTGGTTGACATTCCTTTTTTGCATGCTTTCTCTCTTCTTCTAACTTAGCCTTTTTCTGAGCTCTTCTTTGCTTGCTAAGCATTTTCTTCAAGTCTTTGGTCGACAGATTTTCTATAAATATTCAAATGTGTAAAAACATCTCTCAGTTTGCTTTTTTTTAAAAAAAAAAAAAAAAGTCCTTCCTACAATACATACTGTTAATAAAACTTTCTTTGGTGTGGGAAGAGAAGTAACTTAAGTAAAAGGTTTTTAGAAAGTATATTCCTGTGACTAGACAAAATCTGGTACACAAAAGGCAACCAGTAAATGTTGGCTACATTAATAACTAAAATTAATTCGAGCCCAATTCTGCCACTGTGATGGTTAGTTTTAAATGTCAACTTGACACAATTTAGATAGAATCACCTAGGAAGAGAGTCTCAGTGAGTTTTCTATATTAGGTTGTCCTGTGGGCATGTCTGTAGGAGCCTGTCTTGATTATTTTAATTGCTGCAGGAAGACCTAAAAGTGAGCAGCACCATTTCTTGGTCCTGGACTGTAATTAAAAAGGGGAAAGTAAGCTGAGCACAAGCACATATGCATTCATTCCTTCTTGCTCTTGACTATAAATGTGACCAGCTGCTTTAGTTCCTGCTGCCTTGACTTTCTGCTCTAATGGGTTGTAACCTAGAACTGGGAGCTACAATAAATCCTTTCTCCCCTAAGTTGCTTTTGTAAGGGTATTTAATCACAGCAACAGCAAATGAACTAATAGCATCCCCTACACTATACAATAAGTTACAGGCAAATCACCTTATCCCCCTCAGTTTCAAGTTGCAAAACATACACCAACTATGCTCTTGGGATGTTTCAAGGGTAAGTGAAATGATGCATACAACAAAACTTCTAATTCCTAAATACTATATATTAGAAAATTTAGAAATCTGCCTCCATGCTATTTCCCAAATACTTAGGTATTAACATTATGGTGACATGCACCAGAGACATTCTCATTGGCATTCTTATTGTCAATAAAGTAGGCACATATTTTAAGATTTTTTTTCCTAAGGTACTCAAAGCTTTTAAAAATTAATTAAAAATTGTTATTGTGTGTATGATGTGAGGGAGGTATGCATGCACATCGTATGTCAAGGTCAGAGAACAATTTTGTGGAATTGGGTCTCTCTCCTTTCACCTTTACATGGGCTCCAGGAATCAAACTCAGACCACCAGGCTTGTGTGGCAAGTGCTTGACTTGCTGAGCCATCTCACCATTCCTCAAAGCTTTTTTTTCAATTATTATTTAAAGAAAAGAAAGCAGCCTATAGACATTTATATTCTTCCTTAACCAATGTTACTTAAAATAAAAATAAAGACTGAGCTGAATGTGGTGGTACCTATTGATAATCTCAGCACTTAGGAGGCTGAGGCAGGAGGACCATGAATTTGAGGGTAGCTGATCAATGAGACCTGGGTAAGGGGAGAAGAGGGGGAAAGAAGAAAAGAGGGAGAAAGGAAGGGAAAGGGAGTAAGAAGGGGAGAGGGGGAGAGAAAGAGAGCGAGAACAAGAACACACAAGCAAGTCATCTTATTAGGTTGATGGAGATAAATCAGCTACAGAACATCAGCCCTTTTGACATTTTTTGAAGTCTGACTTTTTTCTTGACATCAATTGCCTAATATTATCTTCATATTCATTTCCTATGCAATGTATTAATATCTGTTAATAATACCCTGAAATTTAATATTTTTAAATATTATAGAGCAAGTTCCTTTTCAGTTACCTGCATTTATTTCTTGTTGTTTGCTCACACTGGTTAAAGGGTTATCATGTAATTTCAAGTATATTTCAATTGCTGATCTAGCAGCCTTGAAATAAAAGGCATGTCTTCTGAGAATATCTTCTAATCTCAAAAGGTCAACATAAGCACGAAGGGTCATCTTTCTCATGCAGTATGTATGGAAGTCAAATTGATCATCGGTTATCTCAAAAAAATGCTTTAAAACAAAACCACAAAATTATCCCTTACACATATGTCAATCTCTATCTTTTGAAAAGAAAATTATAAGAAGTCCCCCAAACAGTTAAAACAGTCTCAATTTTCCTTGGTCACCCTCTCCCATGCTAACACTACAAAAGACAAGTTCTCTGCATTCAACTTAAAGTGTCTGGCCCTCATTTACAGCCATATCACCCTGAACACACCTGATCTCAACTGAAGTGTCTTTTCTATAAATCTCCCTATTTCCTATACATCTTATTTTGTGATGACATTCAACCTCTATACTGATAAGCCAAGTGATTAGGTTAGGTTATATTTTAAACTTGGAAATTAGTACATATTGATGTTTTAATCTAATAAAATATCTTTCCTCTGCAACAGATAAAAAGAACTTGGAAGACTAAATATATGTAGGTTCACTGGAGATGTTTACAAATCTGATTGATCTACTTGACCCTAAGCTCTTAAGAAGGCACAAATTGCCATCTCTAAGCCCTCTTCCTGGCCCAGAGTCTAACACAGAGCAGACATTTCATACACATACTACCACCCAACTCGAGGTAAGAAGCTTACCAGGCATATGAACTTGAATAAGTTTTTAATTTCATGGTGCTTTAATTATTTAGTCTAAGTTAGGAATAAATCTATACAGCCACTTTCTTAAGTTAGTTGATCAAATTAGCACATTTTAAATTTCATACTTAATAGCAAACTGCCATACAAAGATAGAGCATTATGATTTTTTTCTTTGTTACTAAGCTCCCATTAATATACCCATACCCATATTCCTTAAGTTCTTTTTCTTAGGTCTAGGTAACAAGGATAATTTCTTCCTAATAAAAAAGCTCAAAGCTTTCATCTAATTTCCAAATGACTCATGCCTGCCCCTCAAAAGGTTAATAATTAGTTCCTTTCATGTAAAGAGAAAATTAACCCCTTAGTCCCACAAAACAATTTTCTAATTTAGTTTTCTCCCCTACATGTATTTCCACCTCTTCTCTGTTCCCCTACTTTGGCTTCTCCGCATTAGCATAAAAATGAATGATTCAACACATGGAGCCCAAGCTTTTCTAATACTTCATATTCCCTTGAGGAGGGGTTTGGGGTGGCCAAGTAACACCATACAGAGGACAAACACATATTATTCATAACCACTTGATGTCTTTAGTCCTCTTGGTAATTAGAAACATGTTACATAAAGAATTACACTAAATACCTATTACTTTAAGAATTCTAAGAATAAAAGTATAATACGGAGAACAAAAACTGGAAAAAAAAAAGAACATTTCATATCAGTTCATACATACTAAAAAAATTCATGCTTTAATATATTGAAAACAGAATTTTCCCAGTAAGACAAATAAGTAATGACATAACTTGATTTTGCTTTTTAAAAATCAAAGGCTAACATATTTCATAGTTATTAGTACTTTTCCTTAATGTAAATCAAATTCTATCTTATACCAGAGTAATACCAGAGTATTAAAATCAATAGAATTGGCTAAGAGAAACAGCAATGCAAAAAAAAAGTCATGGAACACATGGTAAAATGAAAACATCTAAGGGACTACAGGTTATTATTTAGGTTGAGAAACATGTAAAAAAGCAGACAACAAGCTTCAAAAGGTATTTCTAGAAGTGTGGGTAGATGTGGATTTTTAGTCAAGTCTCAGAAGAAATCATCTGGAACCATAATCACGTAATCCACCTCTTTATCAGTAACAGCCCACAGGCTGCCTCTCTCCAGTTGATGTCTTTCATAAACAGGTGACCAACTTAGCCCAGTTTGCCAGAAGCTTTCCAGGTTTTTCCAATGAAAGCACTGTTTCTTGGGAATCACTAAGCCACAGGCAAACAAGGCTATCTAGAGCTTTACTCTATATAGTTCATGGTGGTAAAAGTGTGGCTAGATGAAATCAGAAAAAGTAGGACACTACGGCTATGCTTAGCAATATTTTTGCTTTGGAAGAAACAAGGATATTGCAGAATACTACAGAAGCAACTAAATAATCTTAAGCCCCTTTCCCCCTCTGCCCAGCAGGTAGTTCTGGCAGATTTGCCAAACACATTAAAATTGGGCTTGGCCATGAATTTTGAGGTGACCTAGACTATATAGCAAGACTCTGTCTCAACAAAACAAAAACAGAAAAATTAGGCTTGTGTTAAGACAAGTCAGCAAAGAATTAAGAAAAGTCACTCAAAGCTTTAGAATGCAACTGTCAAGAATTCTTTACAAAGCACTCTCCTATAGATTCTCTTGCCCATCACTTCTTAGAATTCTTAGATCAGACTATTAAGAGTTTACATACAGAACTGTCTAGACTTGAAAATGGCAACTAGATTAAGGGAATAAGTAACTTTATTTCTTTTCTGGAGGATCTGTCATTATAAAACGTGTGTCCACTTAAAAAGGATGCAACAGGTTAAACCTAACCAAGATATAAATCAGCACACTGAAGTGATCCCAATCAGTATTAATAAAAGAAAGAAAACTCACTTCTTGAAAGATAAAAAATAAGAATGTTACTACTATAAACACAAGTTTATAGTAAGTACTTTGAAGATAGCTATATTAATAAAGCTTAAACACCAGACTGGATTAACCACATGACCTTTACATATAATCTTAAAATCCCACTTAGAGAGGCAAAATAAAGACAGAAAGGGTACTACACAACGACCCATTCCAAAATTCTAACATGTCAAATCCAAATGGTAAGAGATTATGGCAGTATTACAGATGAAACTGCTTTCAATGAGAGAATTTTTAAAAATGTGTATGAGTGTTTTACCTGCATGTATGTAAGTGCATCTGTGTGTGCAATGTCTGTGAAAGCCAGAAGAAGGCACTGAATTCTCTGAACTAGAGTTACAGACTGTTGTTACCCACCATGTGGGTGTTGGTAACCAAACTCAGGTTTTCTGCAAAAGCAGTCAGCCAGTGCTCTTAACCACTGAGGCATATCTCCAGCCCCGAGAGAATTCTTGAATGACATACTCCTTAAACGTTTTTTTCTCAATTTATTTCAATTTAAAATATAAAATGCAGACAGGTGTGGTGGCACATGCCTGTAATCCCAGCACTTCAGAGGCAGAGGCAGGTGGATCTTTGTGAATTCAAGGCCAGCCTGGTCTACATAGTGAGTTCCAGGACAGCTGGGGCTACAGGGAGACCGTCTCAGAAAGACCAAAAAATAAAATAAAATAAAAGATAAAATGCAAAATTCATGATAGGTATTTATTTCCTTATTAAAATATTAAGAAGTCAGGCATAAAGTAACTTGTGTAAGTAGTCTAATAAATCTTTGAATTGTATATTTTGTGTGTGTGCATACACATATTCCAATGGCTATGGGTATGTAGTTGTATACATGTGGAGGTCAGAAAACAACTTCAAATGTTGATCCTCAAGCATCTTTCACCTTTTGTTTGATGTAGGGTTTCTCACTGGCCTGGTACTTTGCCATGTATCCAGGGATCTACCTGCCTCTGCATTCCATTTTGTCATTGCTGGAATTAAAGGAGCATACCTCTGCACCCAGCATTTTTTATGGGTTCTGGGGGTCCAAACTCAGGTCCTCATACTTTCAAGGCAAGTGCTTTTATTGAATGTGTCATCTCTCCACTCAAAATATTTATTTAGGTGTGAATTGTGAATGTTGTCTGCCTGTGTGGGTGCACGTGGAAGCCAGTGGTTGACAGCAGGATGCCTTTCTCAATTGCTTGGTCATCATTTTGTTTGTTTTTTTGTTTAATATACATAAAATCTGTAATTGAACCTGGGCCTCATTGTTTCAGATAGGCTGGCTGGCCAGCAAGCCCCAGGGATCCATTTGCTAAGAGCTTACAGCAACAAGTATTATAGATGAAACAGCTTTCAACAAGAGAAAGCAATTTCATCTACAGACAAGTAATCCCCCAAGTTGGGGTTACAGGTACGTGCTGCCAAACCTGGCTTTTTTACTTTTTTATATCAATCCTGGGGTTCAGAACTGAGCACTTTACCCTCTGAGCCAACCCTCCATTTCCCCAGCCATAATTTTATATGCTTAAATTCTTCCAATGATATTAAGAATTTTGATCATATTAATTTTATTAGAAATTAAGCATTCAGTCATTAAATGTCCCTATTATACTAACACATTTCTACATGTGTAAAATATGCATACTGATCACTGTCTCTTTTTGAGACAGGGTTTCCCTGTAGCCCCAGTTGTCCTGGAACTCACTATGTAGACCAGGCTGGCCTTGAACTCACAAAGATCCATCTGCCTCTGCCTTCTGAGTGCTGGGATTAAAGGCATGAGCTACCATGCCTGGCTAAACTTTTTTGTATGTCTTTTTTTTTTTTTTTTTTTTGAGACAAGGTCTCCTGATTAAATCCACCTGCCTGGACCTCCCAGTGCTGAGATTAAAAGCATCTACCACCACACCCAGCTTAAATCTATTTTTAGTATGGATATATTCATTATAAGTGGTATAAGAAATGATTCTTGTTTATCTGTTTCTTCCTAGTATGAAATTCCAATAGCAAACTCTGAAAGTTTGTTAAATTTGCAACATGACCAAAGGGTGATGATTTCCACATTTTAATCTCTGGTAATCAATTTAACTTTTTCTTCAGAAATGTTTACTAACAATTATATCGTTTTTTTGAACTACAAGAAGTTTTCCTGGCATTAAGAATTTTATTCCAGGTATTCAAAGTCACTATATGCTTAAGGAAAACCATAATCTAGGTGAAACTTAGTAACAGAAGATGTATTTATCACAATCTAGTAAGTCAAGAAATATTAGATCTATGGGTAATGATCCTAAGGATATTCAAATTTTCACTTAAACAGAAAAATCAGTTTCTAGTTACACTCTTCTTGAAAGTTCTAATCTACAAATGCTTCAGTTGAGCTTCTTCATTCAGAAAACAATTTATAGCTCACTGACAGTGTAATACATAAAAATGTATCCTTCTACAATATGTAGGATGCTTTTAAAACGATAGTCATTAGGGAGCAATAAAACAAGCTACCAATTTTCATGCTGACTTCATTTATTTTTCTGTATATATGATGTGTGTTTACATGTTTGTATGTGAAAGCACATGCATACCATGGTGCATGTTGGAGGTCAGAGGACAAACTCAGGTGTTAACCCTTGATTTCCACCTTGTTTTTTTTTTTTTTTTTGAGAGAGGGTCTCTTTTCCTTTTTGAATCCTCCAGGTTAGCTGGACCACAAGCTTCCAGGGGATTGTCCTGTCTCCACCTCATCTCTTCAGCACTTTTACCAGCTGATCCATCTCCCTTGGCCCTGTTTTGTTATGACAGGTTCTCATTATGTAGCCCAGGTGGATTAAACATACTAAACTTCCAAGCTAGCCTCTAACTCAAGATCCTTCTGCCTAAGCCTCCTGAGTTCTCGGGTTACAGGCCTGCACCATCATGCCCAGTTCTGATCTACATTTCACCACAGAAATAAGAGCCTGATTTAAACTACAATGTTTGAATATTTAACTTATCACCCAAGAGGTTTAGTATTTTCAAAGAGAAAATGAAAATGAGGTCTTTCCCCTAGAGACAGTCATAAAAGTTTAAAAGAGCAGGAGAAACAAACAAAAAAACCAACCAAACAAAAAAACAAACTTAAGAAAAATTTAGGTATTTTTCTACAAAGGTTTTGGTATAATCCTAGTTCCAGTTCCCATCAAAAGCCGCCCCTTATGATAGAGCCTTCCTCTGGGTAACCTCAGAAGTCTCACATGGGAAGAAGGCCAAAGTGACTGCCATGGTGCAGACATCAGGCTCACCTGACTACGATGCCTGTGGTTTTATACTGCGTCAGCAGGGGAAGAGTGGTGCCGAGTGCCCCCACAACTGAGGGCTGCTGAGGACTGCCTCAGGGGTGCATTTGTGGCTCTTTTCCTCCTGTGGTCCGTGTGGAAGGAGAGTGCTTCAGAGATGACAAAGAACAGGAAAACAAAAATTCACACAAAGGAAAAGAAAAGTACCCTCACTAAGGCATATCACACACATAATTCTAAACCAAGTAATAAACCAAGGCTGCAAACTGGCCATTTGCTGTACAGGGTACTGCATGTGAGAACAAACATCCTAGAAGACGAACTGGAGAGAGGCTGGCTGTGGACCAGATCCTGACATTTGAAATGGTAAAGAGGCTGCCACCGGTTGTGTCCTCCTAGGCTGCTGATAAAAAGCAAGTAATGGCCGGATCAGGGAAGAAAAAAATTGAATTTACATTAATAATAGCACACTACTTACTAAGTTAATCTTTTTCTCTTCAAAGGAAAATATATGGACATGTCAAAGTAGCAAAAAAGTAATCATTTGTTCATAGCTTCACATTGCTCAGAATACTAAAGATCAAGAATTTTTTTCACAATGAAGTGGTCAAAGTCAGGAGAGGCAGATGATCTAGTTCAGACATCTACCTGCTTTTCTTGTCATCTTATAGGAAGAACTAAAGTCAAAATCCTAACAACTTACTCGTTCTACTTCATGGCATTTTTTCAAGGCATCACCGTATCTCCCTAGCCGCTGATAAGCCAAAATGCATTCTGTCTGAAACCACATACACTGCATTTCATTTAAATTTTCCATGGCAGATGTTCCTTCCTAAAAGAGAAACTTGCATTAATATAAGGGAACAAGCAATAAAACATGCCCCAAATCTCATTTTTTAAGTGTATATAAAGTCTTGGGCTCAATTCCGAACATCAGAAAAAAACACATCATTTTTCCTTTTGCAACTTGGCTGCAAGTATTATGATGACGACAACTAGCAATAGACATTAAGGTTGGTAGTGGTTGTAAATATTTGTTATTACATTTATCTTATGTGTGTATGCACATGTGCACACGCACATGTAGAGGTCAGAGGGCAACTTGTGGGAGTCGATGCTCTCCTACCCTGTGGATCCTAGGGATTGAACTCAAGGTCATCAGACTTGACAACAAGCACCTTTACCTGCTAAGCCATCTTGCTGGCCCTCCTAGTAGTTTTAAACTACAGAAAGTCTCATATATCCAGTTCCATTGGGGTATTCATATTTTGTATAGAAAAAGACTCTAGACTACTAAAGCTATTTTTAAACACCAAAGCTCTTATTTAAAAGAGCAATCCTCCTATGAAACATTGCTTAGCTTCATTTTTTTCTTTTTCTCCTACTTAACGTTTCCTTGCTGACTCAGGTCACTATTATATAGAACCAATATTGTTGTATCTCTTAGTAATGTTCCCAGAATGTTCTTCACTTTCCCAGTCTCCCTCCTGCAAGTTCTGCTATCCACTGTGTTTGTGTTCATGTGTCTTTTAACAGCATTTTCTGTTTCGTGACAACTTTTCTACTTTACTATCTCTCTTCTGCCATGAGCTAAGAAAACCAAATTAACACTGGGCATGATGGTGTATGCCTGTAATCCCAGCACTCAGGAGACTGAGGCAGGAGGATTGTGAGTTCAAAGCCAACCTGAGCTACACAGCCAGACCTTAGGACTGTTAAGAATAAATAAAATCATATATATAAAGGATTTAGCTTAGTACTTTAAAGGCCCTAAGTTACTTTTCAATTTTCTTTTACAAATGATAAGCAAATTATTAGCATTACTGTAAATGTTGGATGTCAGGGTGAGTCATATGAAAAAAAAGTGTCATTTTAGTAAGAAACAATAAATTTTCTACATGTATAGCCTTTAATAGTTGAGAGAGTTAGAAAGTGAGAGCACATAAGTGTATGTGTGTGTGCACGTACATGTGTAAAAATAATCTGTCACTACCTAGTCATGCCAGACTTAAAGTTCAGCCTATCTGATGGGTAACAAATTGCTTACTGTTTTAATTTGCACTTTGTTGATTACTAGAAAAGAAACCCATTTTGGCCATTCATTTTCCACTTTTATGAATCAGCTATTAATGTCCTTTGCCCTTCTTTGTAGTGTCTTGTCTTTTTCTTACTTTCAATTTTTGTTTGTTTCTATGATGTTTCCAAGTGGTAGTGATGTTTCAAAATAAACCAAAGTATTCTGCAGCTTCTAAATAATATCAAGAAATAACTAGAATCTAGTTAAAATTTAGGTGGTACATGGGAGCAATATTAGCAATGCCTTAGCACCACAGAACACAGCAGTAATTTATTTTCATTCCAAGAATTTACTGGCAAACACCAACAAAGAACTTTACTTTATACATAACATACACTTTTGGAGATGTAATTTATTCATCTCAAAATGTCTTAATTATATTTAACATGCAAACATGGCTTCCTTAATACATGTCAATGTCACATTAAATGTGCATTATATAGTTACTTGAGTGAATTATTTGGGATTTTATAAATTTTCTTGCCATCATGGATTGGAAATACATTCTTCAATTCTCTTCTCACTTTGCTTATAGCTATTTTGCAATATAATATAACCAAGTATATCAATTTTACAAATACTTTGTGCTTTGGGGCTCTTAAACACTTCTAGAATGAATGAATTTGACCAATGCATGTCATATGCATGACTGAAAGTATCATACTGAAGCCCATTAACATGTTTTATTATTACATGTCAATAAATTCTTTAAAACTTTTATGTGTATGCGTGTTTTGCCTGTATGTATATATATCTACTGCATTCATGCCTGGTGCCTGTGGAGGCCAAAAGAGTGTTGAATCCCCTGGAACTGTAGTTATGAAAGTTCGTGAGCTATCATGTGGGGGATGGGAAGAGAACAGGGTCCTCTGCAAGAGCACTAAGCACTCTTAACTGCTGCGCTTATCTCTCCAGTCCCAGGTCAATATAATTTTTAATAATGGAGTTAGAGAAATGACTCAATGGTTAAGAGCACAGGCTGCTCTTCCAGAGGACTGGCGTTCAGTTCCCAGCACCTACAGAGTGGCTAATGACACCCATAACTCCACTTCCAAAGGATCCGATACCCTCTTCTGGCCTCCATGGGCACTGCACACACATGGAGCATTTACATAGAGGCAGAACATTTATACACATAAAATAAAAATAAACAGTTTACCTTTAATAAATAATAAATAGGGCTGGGTATGATAGAGCTCAAGTGGTAGGTGCTTGCCCAGCACCACATAAAACTGGTCATGATAGTATAAACTTGTAATCCCAGCAATTAGAAGGTAGAAGCAAGAGGAGTAGAATTTAAGGTCATCCCTGCTACATAGTGAGTTCAATGCCAGCCTGGGTTACATGAGATCCTGTCTCAAAAAACTAAATAACTATAATAAAATCAATAATAATAATAATAATAATTAAAAGATGCTCAAAGAATTAAGGGAGATATAGAGAAAATCAGGACAATGGTGTATAAAAAACATGGAAATATCAACAGAGAGAAAACCTAAAAAGAATCCAAAAGGAATTTCTTTTTTTAATTTTAAGAAATAAATCTAGGGGCAGGAAAGATGGCTCAGTGGTTAAGAGCACTGGCTGCTCCTGCAGAGGTTCCCAGCACCCACACAGCAGCTAACATCTATCTTTAACTCCAGTTCCAAGAGATCCAACACCCTCTTCTGGCCCCAACAGATATTGCATGCATGTGGTACACATATATATGCAAACAAAACACTCATACATAAAATATAAATTTTTAAAAATTTACGAAATAAAGCTGAGTGTAATGACATATGCCTTTAATCCCAGCACTTGGGAGGCAGAGGTAGGTGGACCTCTGTGAGTTCAAGCCCAGCCTGGTCTACAAAGGAAGTTCCAGGCCACCACCTTGTGCTACAGGGAGACCCTGTCTCAAAAGACAAAAATAAAAAAGGAAAGAAATCTAACCCTCCTTGCTTCTTTAAAAAACAGAAACACTGCTGGGCGTGGTGGTGCATGCCTTTAATCCCAGCACTTGGGAGGCAGAGGCAGGTGGATCTTTTGTGAGTTTGAGGCCAGCCTAGTCTACATAGCGAGTTCCAGGACAGCTGGGGCTACAGGAAGACCCTGTTTCAAAAAGCCAAAAAAAAAAAAGAAAGAAAAAAGAAATGCTTCCTCCCTCAAGCATAAAGAATGTTTCTTTAACCTAAACACAAGGTCCTATTTATTTTCTTCCAAATATTTTTTAAGAACTATTTTCCATATTTAGTCCATCTGGAACTGATTTGTGTGTAGCATAAGATAGAGATGTCATTTAATTTTTTTCAACATAAGTAATGGTCTCAGCAATATCTTTTTATCTTTAATTCTAAAAGTACCTCTGGCTACATACCAATTTTCCAAATATATTTGAATCTATTTCTGTGCATATTCTTCTGTTCTATCGACATATATATATATTTTTTTTATTTTATGTGTATGCATATATTGCCTGAGTGTGTAGGTAAGTACAACCGTGTCATGCAATGACCATGGAGGATAGAAGAAACTGTCAGATTCCCTGGAACTGGAGTTACAGACAGTTGTTAGCTGCCATGTGGGTGCTGGGATTTGAACCCAGGTCCTCTGCAAGAACAACCTGTGTTCTTAACTGCTGAGCTATCTCTCCAGCCCCAACCTATATTTTTAATAATAAAAAATATCATGTCTATGTGGAAAATAGTACAGAAGAGATGGTAAAGGAAGAAAAGAAAGGAATAAGTATTTAGTCAATTTCAGACAACTGAAATTCCAAAACATCACAGAGACTACACAGAAAGAACTTTGAGCAATTCTGAAGTGAGATGATGTAAAAGAAAGTAAGAGGTCAGTAATTAAAAGAGATGAAACATTTGGGATACAAACTAAATTTTGTATGTACAAAAGTGGGGTATGGGGGTTGGAGACATGACAGTCAGTGGCAAGGGAGCACTTGTGGCTCTTCCAGAGGGCCGAGTTCAGTTCCCAACACCCACATGAGAAGTCTCACAACCGCCTGTAACTCCAGTTCCAAGGAATTTGATGCCCTCTTCTGGCCTGTGGGGGAGGTACCTGCAATCAGGTAGCATACATACAAATAAAAATGAATATTTTTAAAAAGGAGGGTAAGGGGTGGTAGCATATGCCTTTAATCCCAGTACATGCCTTTAATCCAAGCACTCAGAAGGCAGGGGCTGGTGGGAAGCCAGCCTGGTCTACATACTGAATTTCAGGTCAGCTGAGGCTACAAAAAGATCCTGTCTCAAAAGAGCAAAACAAAACAAAAAGAACCCAGCAGAGCATGTTCGTTATATTTTTACCAGAGCATTTTGCTACTGTATTACTCTTTAACCATTTCCTGTCAGAAATACACACATACAACCACAGTAAGAAATATTACTGTTTAGAATATGGTTTGGAGTGGTGGTACATGTCTTTAATCTCAGCACTTGGAGGCAGGGGCCAGCAGCTTTCTCTTGCATTTGAGACCAACCTGGTCTACACAGCTAGTTCCAGGTCAGTCAGTACTACGTAGGCAAGACCCTGTCTCAAAAAACAAACAAATCAACAACAACAACAACAAAACAAACTGACTGGGATTTTCTGAAAAGAGAATTCCCATGAATGTCAATGGTAAATTTAACAAACCATCACAGAACTTGAATTTTACTTATTCAGATTATTATACACTCATGTATGGCATTTCCTACCCTTGTGAATTTGGAACACATTTCCTCTGCTTCTTTTATCATATTTGCTCGAAGCATATATTTTGCACATTTGGAATTAATGAATCTATCAGCTGTGTCCAAAGACTGTGCTTCATCCATCCACTTTACAGCTTCTTTGAGATTACCCATATGCTGTGAGAAAAACACATTAGTGAAATCACAGTTTGAGCAAAGAAAAATGGGTATAACGTAAATAGGAAAAAAAAATGTATAAAAACTAAAAGCTAGAAATTTGACATGACTTCTATCAATATATCTAGGAATCCAGATAGTTATGATTCCATTGCTAAGAATGGAACCAAATCACTAACACTGATCACATAAATATGTAAAAGAATTCCTTAAGATTATTGGAATATAGAAAAAATTAGCTGGATATCCTAGATGTTACTGCTGTCAATTCAAACATGGTTGAATCTCAACTATTCAAAATCTAATATTGAGTTTACCTTGTAAATTTTTGCTTTCATATAGAATAATTCTATTAGAGTTGGAGTACTGGCAATAGCAGCATTAATATAATCCAAAGCCAGAGAATATTGCCCAAGTTTATCAAAGTGCTGTGCCAGGAAATATTGAACCCAGAGTAGAGTCGTTGGAGGTTCCTTTTCCCCATTCTCTGCAATCAAACAAACATTAAATTGTTGTAGGAAGAATGCAAATAAAGCATAAAGAAATAAAGCAAATCGCATGATCCCTAATTCATAATAAAATCAAGTGTTATTATAATAAAGAGTAAAACACTGCAAAAAGAATCAATTTCAATAGAAGGAGGTAAGACTCCATGACATTAGGTTCAAAAGGGGGCAGTCAAGCAGAGCAAGAAAACCCTACTGTGACAGGCTTCTAACCCCAAAGTCTCTCCAAAGAAATAGTGCTAGAGAAAAGATAATCTAATTCTGTGAGGTCTCAATCTGAAAGGAAAATGCAGCGAATCCAAGAAAAAAAAATCAAAGAAAGTAACTTGAAGAGACTAGCATTGCAAGACTTCAGCAGAGACAAGAGCTGTCAACAAGTACACACTTTCCAAATGTGCAAAGCATGTGCTCCTAGCAAATATGACAAAAGCAGCAAAGGAAATGTGCCTCAGGTTCAGGAGGGTAAGAAATGGCACAGATGAGTGTGTAATTGTCTCAATTTTCTAGGCCTCAACTCTTAGCCAAAGAATCCCCCAAATGAAGGGTATGACTCAAAGAATACAGCACTAACCAGTTGAAAATATTCCTGCTGTATACAACAAATCTAAGATTGGAGCACACAGCCTAAGTCCATACATTAGCTGCTCTCTATCCTGTACTAGAGATCTCAAAATGGACTTCAGAAAGGCAGACACAATTTTAAAATGAGGGAGTGAATTTACCTGTACTATATCAGAACCAACAGAAGATCTCCTAATACACCCAGCTAAATAAATGATCAGACAATGCAAACACACCAAAGCAGAAATTAAAATACAAATCAAAAGAGTGGGATATTGCTGTGACAGACTGACCTTGGTGTTTTTGGGAGGACTGTGGAAGTGTTTGGAACTTTGGGCTGGAAAAGCCATTGCATGCTCAGAGTTTGTTGCAGTGGAGCTTGGAACAGTTATGTTGAAAGAGTTGTAGACGATGGAGGCCTGGCTTGTGAAGCTTCAAAGGGAAGCGGAGACTATCAGGGCTGTTCGTGTTAGATTTTGGA